CCCCCCGCCCCCCGGCCGGGCCCCCGCCCCGCCGCTTCCGGCGCCGGCGGGGGCGGGCTCGCGGGCAGGGCGGAAGCCGCGCGGCGGGCGGCGCGTGCGCGGGGGCGTGGCCGCGGCGGGGGCGCGGCCGGCGCTCAGTTCCTGCCCCGCGCGCGGGCGGGCAGGCGGGTGTCGCCGGTCGTGACAGAGGTAACGGCCCGGCCCGGCCCCGCGCCCCCTCGGCGAGGCTGCCCGGCCGGGGCCGCCCCCAGGCTCGGTCGCTGCCCGGGACAGCGCGCCTGGCGCTGCCGCCGCGGTGCTCTCCGGCCCGGCCCCGTGGGGCGGGAGCGCCGCTGATTCACCTCGGGCAGCTGCCGGCAGTGGGGAGGGAGGGAGGTGGACAGATAGACAGACAGACAGACCGACCCCGCGGGGCCTGGCCGGGTCCCGGACGCCCCCGGGTCTCAGCGCGGCGCTAGGCGATGCTGGGGCCCGTCCTGCGGCCTCGGTGACCCCCCGGGCCGGGAGAGCCCGGCTCAGTTCGGTGTTCCCGGCCGCCCTTCTGCGGACACGGGCTCTGCCCCTGGCACCGTGGCCTCTGGGGGTGCCGGGAGCTGCGGGGCGGTAACGGGGAAGGACCTTTTGGCTCTGCAGATGGGGCGTTATGCAGCCTTAGGAAATGCTCATTTACGTTTCACTCCTTATCCACTATGTGTTTGTAGTTGGGAGCTTAATTCATCCCGTTTTTTGTACCAAGTGATGCATTTAATGCCCCGGTGACAGCGTTGGTCAGCCTGCAGGACCGTAGTTATGGGAGAACCTTTAACAAGATGTATTTTATTTGCAGTCGTGCTGACTTGTTTTTTTTTTCGGGGGGTGGGGGGGAATGGGTTACATTTGTAGCTGAAGAAACAAATTGATCTACATGTGCTTCACTGTCCATTGGAAGAATGACAGATGACAAAGATGTACTTCGAGATGTGTGGTTTGGGCGAATACCGACCTGTTTCACTCTGTATCAGGATGAGATAACTGAAAGGGAAGCTGACCCCTACTATGTGAGTATGACAAAGGCAGTCACAAATAGTCCAAGATCCTGGTTATGTTCGTTTCCTTCATTCTCATCACGTGTACTACTGCATGTTGTGAAAAAAACCCAATTCTTTTCTTATTCTGGTAGCTTCTGAAAGTAAACTTACAGCCATGCTGTGTGACTTCATCTTTCTTCACAGCAAATGGAAAACTTCAGGCTTGTTTCAATAGTGACAGAAACTTATCACAGATAATTTAGATCGTTGAAAAAATTCTTAGAAAGTCAGTGAGTGACTAGGTTAAGGAGGAGGCTGCGTGTGAATTTGTATTTTCTTGGATAATGAAGAGTTGAAGGGAGAGAACTTCTATTAATGCAGAAATAATTTAGTCAGACTTATGAAATCTTCAGCGTTAAGGTTGGTCACCTGTGTAACACAAACTCCTAATGAACACTGGCTCTGTGGATGACTTCTCCTCATTTTCTTTTCTTTAAAGTCCAGCAGCCATGAGAGATCTAGCTCAGAAATAGGAAGAGCAACTATAATGGCTAAACAGAACACTGCCTGAACAGGATGGCTAGCTGATGATAAAAAAGGGATGATGGATGTGTTTGAGTTGTAACATGGAAGTGCCTCCTATAATGATATATTTATTTATAATGTTCTCAGCAGTTTTCATTCTTTCAGCACCTAAGAGACACGTAATTGATAAAGAATGTTAGCTGATTCAGTGAAATGCAAATTTGAAATGTAACAAGTATATGGGAGGGAAATCTTGAACTTTTAATCTTTATGGAATTCTGAAGTTCTATAGTATCTTTGTGTCATCAGTTTCTCATTTGCATGTGTTTTGAAACGTAATGAACTATAAGTACTTTCTGTTCAGCAGTAATAGTGCTCATCTTTGTATATTTTATTTTCATCATTGGTAAAAGATAAGCACTTTGCTTCATATTTTTTGACCTATTGCCAAATACATTTAAGATACCTAAAAGTCTCAGACTTCAAATTTTACATAGGAGTTAAAATATATTTGCATGCTTCATGTAAGAGCTACTTGAAAGGTATGAGTTGAAGTTCAGAGGTTTACAGCCTTGATCTGTTCAACATTGGCATGGAAACCATGAAACCATGTTATCCTTGTGGTTTGGCCAGATTTCTAAGTCAAGGAAATCGTGTTAAGGTCATAGGATTTCTTTTATTTACTCCACATAAAGTATGCACAAAAATTCTCAATGCTTAATTCTTTGTTTTTGCAAAATGCAGTTACTTGCAGATGACAGTTCTAAAATTTTAGTTTCTTCATTTTTCAGTTCATGTTGGAGCTGGTCTTACAGCTTTGTGTCTTTGGAGGGACTGAGGATTTATAATAGTGTAAGGCAGAATAGCAATCAAGGTTTTATGTCATGGTGTAACTCTGATAGTTTCAGAGTGTGTTTGCATTAATGTTTTTGTTCAGATTTGAAATAAGTCTTCATCCTTTCCAGTTCCTGTGCCCAGGTTGGCATCACAGAGCAGTCAGCCCATGGGCTGAATCATTTTCACGTGAAGCTGAAGCAGCAGATGGGCTGCAGCTGCTAATGGACATTTAGTGTATGGGAGCAAACTTAAGCTAAATCAAAATAAAATAAAATTATGGGTAAAGTAGGAAAGTATATGTAGTTAACATTCTAGCCCTTGACATTAGCTCTTCAGCTTTACATGTCTTCTCTTACTTGTTAGTATAGATATAACCTCTGTATTTCAGATTGCCTTTCATAAATGGAGAGACTGCATGGGGAGGAAATACTGGCATCATTAAGATGAGGGAGGATAAAGGATTCTGCTTGGTGGAACTTGCTTTATGAAAATGAAGGATGACATAGACTTGGAGGGTGAGGGGTTAGAAAACAACCCATAGTCTGTGGGATGGATTTCAGTTTTTGTGAGTGGTGTGACAGGAGAGCCCTGTCTGTCAGATGGGTTAGTGCAGCACAGGTGCTGAAGCATGTGTGTATCACCTTGTGGCACTACACAGGGGTAGGACAAATAATTGAAAATCAACTTGTCTATCCTTTGGAAAGAGTGGTGACATAAAGACTGTGCAGCCCTGGTAGCCCACTGTCCTATGTCTTAATACAGTCATGTAGTGTAGGTTTCTGCAGCTATGCTAGAAATGGATACATCAGTTTTCTTTGGAGTGTTTCATGCAGATGCTTACGTTTTGAGTGGCAGCGTATTTAGGAACAGTTTGCTTGAACTACTTTTGTTGCTGATTTATCTGATTTTTCTCTCATCCTAAAATTATTATGCTTTTTTTTTTTAGATTATATACTGTTTATATACTGTTTGCCTCTTGGTGCAAGCAGCAGTTAGAAGAGGGTGAAAGAAGTGTACAGGAAGCAGAGACTCATTGGCTGAGACTTGTCAGATGTATAAAGAACAAAATTACAGCAGGGTACAGTCTTAGAATGATGCTCTGCCCAAGGGACTGGTCTTTAACAGGATCACTCTTTAGCTTGCTTGGTGTCAAAAATATTATTTTAAGGTATCTGTAGGAGAGAGGAACGTAAAACCATTGCATATTAGGATGTTCTGTTTCATATCCCTCGACACTTTAGTGATGAGACCAGTCTAGTGCTTGTTAAATCTGTAATTTTTCTGTTTTAGTGCTTTGCATGTATAAATACTGCATGCTCTGCAACGAAACCTGTGGATATACCTGGAGAGGTACTCTCTACACAGTTATATTGCAAGCATTTACTTAGGCATATAAGGAGTTCTTTGTATTTAATTTAACCTCCTGGTTAATAAGAAAACATTCCTGGTTGTTGTGATTAAATACTGTAGTAATACATAATATTGAAAAGGAAGGTGTTGTGGTTTGTGTAATTTTCGGGGGTGACATTTAGGGATGGCTGCAAGGATTTGTTCTGCTTGGTGATGTATTTGGAGATTAACTTTTCTTAATTTAATGAAGAGAACTCATGACCTTATTTGTTAGCTTTCAGTGGGTGGGGAAGGGACATTAAAAGGAATAACAAACTGAAAATGTGTTAAAACTGCTCTTAAAGATCTCACTTAACAGATTTTGCATCCTTGTAAATCTTTAAGATAATTAAAACTAGAAAAATGGTAGAATTGGATCCTTTCACTTCTATGGAAGGGGATAACTGTATCGAGGTAGAAGAACTGGGGGGACCAAACAATGAGTTCAGTGGGTTCTACAAATGCTCAGCATCTCTGGGAAACAGTTAATTCATGTTAATCTGATTAACTGTTGTGTTTTGTACAGTTGTACAGTTTTTGTTAAAGCCTTTTGGGAGTACCAGTCACGTTCTGTTAAATTCAGTCGAATGCTGTTTAGTTACTGTCTGTGTTCTCTAATTGTGCTGAAGTAGAAACTGGCTTGTTCTTTCACAGTGTAAACCAAAGCAGAATATTTTACAGAGGAAGTTATGCAATTTAAATTGTTATGTGAAACAGTGTTGCAATAAATAATGCTTTAATATGTTTATCAATTCCAGCATGGCTGTGCTACATGCAGCATGCTGAAAATTGGCATTTTTAAGAGCCCTAATAAGTCTCATCAGAGTACACCAGCACTAATTTAACTGTACATATCATGCAGAAATAACATTAAATTACCAAAAATATGTGGGTGTGATTGGTACAGTCTGGACTATATTGTCTCAAGAACAATCAGTGAAGATATGTGGAATTAGGTAAATAAAGGATAAGCTTATGTTGTCATTTAAGTACGAAGCAATTCTTACTTGAATGTGTACATAACTTCATCTGATTTATTGAGTTTGTTTGCCTTTTAAAAATGAAGCCTGTGTTTTGATTGCATTGCTCCTATGAAACAAGTTAGAAACAATGTGATGATGGTAATAAAAGCAGCAGATGGAAAAAGAAAACCATATGGTACATGAAAAATGGACATGATGTCTGTGATAGTGGTGAGACTTGGCCTTATGTAATTTTAGAAAATTATAAAATTTAGCTGTGTCACAGATATAACCTAATGTGGCATTATCAAAAAGATGAATCTGTTCTTCCAAGAACTTGATGTGCTCTCAATACTTCTTTATGTATTTACAATACAAATTGTAGTATCATGGTCAAAATATTATCTGGTTTATATATCAAAGTGTGGTCTAATTATTGGAGAAATTCTGGAGCAATGTTGCAGCAGAGATCAAGTTTTCTGTCAGGCAAAATATAACCTTACACAGTTTGGGAGGTCTGTACTGCAAACATTCATTTAGGGCCTGGCATTATTCATATACTATAAAGAAAATACTTTAAGAAACAGCACTGGTTATGAGGAACACTGGAAAACAAATGTTTTTCTAAACATGCAAAATATAGTCTATATATATCTTAGGCCCATCTATTTTATTAATGATTATGAAGCAGAAGTTTATAGGATGGATACTATTAATTTAAAATGTCTGCTCTAAAGTGAATTGATATTTTACAGGGAGGTTAATCTTTACTGAGATACTGAAAAGCATTGTTTGTTAATGCTTACAGATTGATTTATCTCTAGTAAATGTGCCACACAGTCATCAGTCAATTCACTGATTGTTAGAGTCCTTAACCACTCCTGGGGATAAGGCTTTTAAAAAAAAAAGATGGTAGGGAAGATGTTGCAAATAAAAATAGCACAACGTTCTGATTTGTATATTATACACTTGAGAAAATAAGATAGTATATGACAAAGCTGTAAGAATGTGTCTTCTAATTTTTTCAACTAAAAACATATTTACAGTTTTCTTTCTGATTTTAATTGCTGGGTGAAGGTTAAATTGTGGAAGTATAGTAGTCTTGACTAATAGGTTGAACTGACGAACCCAATGCAAAGAAAATGGAAATTGCCAGCTATTGGAAGTACAAAACACTTGGAAACCAAACCCTTAAGCATCTAGTTTTCATTGGCTTTTTTTTTTCCTTGTGCAGGAATTTCCATTTTGAAATAACAGCTGATGCACAGCTGCTCATTCTTTTCAATAAGAAGTTAGAATCTCTTATGTGTTCATATGAAAAATGTTTGAAACTTCATTATTTAAATACAGAAAAGCAGAAATTGAAATCCACTTTTCTCCCCACCACCCCACTGAGAGAATCGAGAACTTAGTTTTTTACTTTTTTTGGTGTTAATATATTGGATACTGCTGTTCTGCATCTTCTGAGTGCACTATTTTGTAGCCTTTCATTGACCATTAAAAAGTAAACTGTCTAAAAGACCTCTTACCTTAAAAAGGGATAGAAGAGAATGCTAACTGCATTTTGGTTATGTAAATGCATACTTGTTACAAATTTTTACTGGTTTAGAGTATTTTATTTACACTTAAAGCTTCTATAATTTTTTTTTCAGTTGCTTTTGCCAAGGGTAAGCTACTTGACACTGGTAACAGACAAAGTGAAGAAACACTTTCAGAAAGTTATGAAACAAGAGGAAGTTAGTGAAATATGGTTTGAATACGAAGGTACACCACTGAAATGGTGAGTTTATTGAACTTTGTACTTTATGCAGTTTATCACATAGAGTTCCCAGCCTGAGCGCAGTGTCAGTAGTTTTCCTAAAGGAATCGCTCCCTTGAGTTTCAAAGGCAGCAAAAGAGGAGAAGGGTAAGAAATGCATGCTTTTGGGGGAAAACAAAAGAAGGTTTAATGTTGAACATTCTTTATTATTCTGCTTGAATTTTTACTTTATGTGTAAGACAGAGGTGTTGTGCTGCACTTACTAGTTTTGTTCTCCTTGTTCCCGTACTTCAGAATGCTTGTGGTTTTGGCTTTACCGTTGCTTGCAGCAGAATTGCCAAATAAATCTTCCTTTAACGTATTCCATCTTCCTAGAAGATGCCTAGTAACACAGATAGGAAGTAATATTTCTGGAGTCTAAATGCAAATAGCTTGTATGCATGACAGTAATAAAGCATGAGTAGCCTTCACTGTTCACTGGTGTGATATGCTTGCACTGTAAAAATCTAATACTAATCTGCAAGTGTTTGTTGAATTCAATTAGTTCAAATTTACTGAACTAATTGCTGTTGATCCTGTTTTTATTTTGTCTGATGGTCTATTAAAACTATTTTCTTTTGGGTTTTTAGTTTGTTGGGTATTTTTTGTAAGAGTTTAGGGACTTGGACTGATATTGTTTCATTTAATTAATTTTCATAAATACTTTTTATCAGGTTTTCTACTTCTGCTGTTAAAGAGTTTTAAAGAAAATATTTTGAGAGCTTCAGTGTTTGTTAGTTCGGTATAGATAGTGTCAGCCCTTCAGAAGGTATTTAGTATTTTGAATGATGAAGAGATTTTTATCTCTTTTTATTTCCTGTATCATCATAGGAAAGAAAACTAGTGATTTTTAAAATTTTACTGAACCTGGATTGTTTTGTGATTAGCAAGCATCACATCATGGAATCCCTGTAGATTTGGTGATGCAGTAAATCTCTTCTAGTCTTCAGTTTCTTTGAGAGCAGCCTAGTGTAAACCTTGAAAATATGTAAATAGAATCTGATAAAAATGATCTCTTTAAACTTTTATTATAACTTTAGAGCTTTAGACCTCTAAATAAATTATGTAGAATTTAACAAGAGATGGTGTCTTATGTGCCACAGTAATGTTGAGTCATGATACTACCTAAATAAACAGCAAGGTACCACATTTATCCTAGTGTGTTCATGATCCCAGGTAAATACTGGGAGAAAACTAGTTTTCACTGAAGTTGTAACAAGAAAGGAAAGAGAAGCTTTGTACTTTAACCAAAAATAGATCGATATTTTCTGTAAGTTTTCAAATACCATCATGTTTAAACTAGAATTAAAGAAACAAACTGTACAATTAAGTATAGAATAAAAATGTTGTTTGTAATTCTAAAATTAAGTGAAGTTATTAAATTTATTGAATGTAGAAATGAAAATAAATAGTGTAATGATGATCTGCTAATTAAAACTCTCATCTTTCAGAAAAACAAAGCCTATTCTACCAGGTACAGCTCCACTGATTTTGGTGGAACTGCTTTTCTAAGGAAAGTGCTATTTGTAAAGCAGTATTTTAGGAGAATGGTAATCCCATAAAGAGCCAGCGCTTCTTCTGGGGAAGACCTAAACACCACAGCTGAGAATGACGCTGAGCTAGTAGTTGGTAGAGAAAGAATAGTGGGCTTTAATGTTTAATCCTTTTACCTATGACTTGTGCATTCAGAATCAAAAATAACTTGTTAATAATATTGTTTATTCCAATTATTTACTTTGCCCTGTGAGGTCTTATTGCTTATAGTCTGTGCAGTTTCATACCTAGTTGGGATGACATCTCTATCTGTTCAGATGCAGCTCTTCCATTTTCCAGTGAGATTTTGGAGGAAGTCTGAAACAGTTCAAACTTCAGGCTCTGCAGTGTGTTGGTCAAGTTCTTAAAGGGAAATGAACCTCTCCAGGCCTGGAGTTACATGGGGTTGGCCTCTTTTTCCTGCTGAAAGTGTTGGGATGGGGGAAGATGGATTATTTGCCCACAGGAGGTGTGTGCTGGGCGAGGGTCTGTGTCACCAAAGTAAGGAGTTTCAGGAACAGATTATCAGACTGTGCAGCATTAAAGACTACAGAAGGAAGTGGATCAAACCTCAGACCATCCTGCAGCTACAGGAGGCTAAGCCTACAATCATATTGAAGGAGATGCAGGCAAAGACTGTTAGAAAACAGTCTCCTAAGATTTGGAAGAGCTGGAAGCTTATGACTTCTTGCAACAAGAGGAATGTTCCTACTGCACCTGCATTTCTCTAAGTACAGCACAGGTTCAGTGCTCTGGCTGCAGGTGAAGGGCTGAAACTGTTGTCTGGTGATGCATCTGATATGTCTGAGCCTGAGCTGTGTAGGGGCACCAGGAGGAAATGAAAAATTAGGTCAAAAGTCTGTATTCTGCTTACTATCCTTTCTCTAGGACTTTTAACTCTGCCATTTCGTGATCACTGCAGCTAAAGCTGCCACTGATTATCACAACTCTTTTGTCTGAACTGATAAGTAACAGATTGAGCTTTGGGTTATCTCTGGTTCATCCAGTGTCTGTATCAGGAAATCTTGACTACTTGTGTCCTGCTGTGTTGCTTTTCCAGCAGATATGAGAGTTTAACAGGAACGAGGATCTGTGATGTAGACACTTATTGAATTGTTTAAAGAAGACTTTATCTATTTTCTCACCTGGATCGCATGATCTGTTGCCCTTATTAGTCCTTCCTCTGTTCCTGAACCACAAGAACTTGACCAACCTGTTGCCTGTCCTATTAAGTTTCATACATCTAAGCTGCTCCCTGACATGGAAGACAACCCTCTGTCCTCATCTGCACTGCCTGCCTTTACTAAGCAGCTTATGTCTGTCCTTCCACAGCAGTATTCCAGTTGTGCAAGTGGTCTAGCTGTACCTCAGGTAGCCCTCTCCCAGTAATGTCATAGCATGTACAACTAGTTTTAACTGCTTATTTTCCAAGCTATGTTCTCTTATGTAGTTACTTGTGGTGGGCTCTCTTCTACCTTCTTTTATCATTTTGACATCTCCCTTGTAGCTGTCACCTTTCACCACTTGCTATCCACCCATGTAAATTAATTTCTATTTATCTGTGGGTTGTTATTTACACTTCCATTGTTAATGGTCTTAAAGCTCTCACCAGGTTGGGAAACCTTAAGGCAAAGATACTTTTGTCTGACTTAGAGATTCCATCTCTCCCTAGCTATCCATTATCCCCAAAGAGTATCCTATGTCGCTAAAAGCCAAGTAAGTCCTTGTTGCGCCAGCTGCATAACCAGCTCCTGACCTGCAGACACCTCTCTGAACCTGTCTCCTTTAATGGCAAAATTGTGGAGATACCTCCTTGCCCCTACAATTTGTAGAGTCACTTTTGATACTCTAAGGGGTTCTAATGCAGTGCTTAAAATTTGTGCCCATGTGGGTAAACAGCAGGTACTAATAAGCCAAGCAGACGACAACTTTGCCACTCTGCAACTTTGGAACAAGCAGCAAACCTCTGCAGGTTAACAAGTAAAGTTGGCATTTGGGGCTCCCTCCGCTGTTGGATGGAGTCTCCTGGTTCTATGACAGCTTCCTCTGCCTGTGGGTGTGCTGTTCAGATAGCTCTGATGCTTATTCAGAACTTCCAGCCTCTTTTCTAACACGGAAGCACTGCCAGTGGATGGAGAAGGCCTGCCCTCTCTTGCCCAGAGGTTAAGGAAACTTTTCTGTCTGTCCACCCAGGAGCTGCTCTGGCAGTCACACACTTGGGCCACCTGAGCTGGGACCGAGGCCCCTTTGCAGCAGGCGGCTCCAGGGAGCCGATGGGTGCCTTGCTCGACTCCCTGCGCACCCCACAGCCGCACAGTCCGAAAAGGCTTCCTTAACAGCTCGACCCTCGGTTCCCATAGCAGAGCCTCAGGTGCCTGGTTCCTTCAAAGACCTTAGTCATGGTGTAACAACAGAGTAACAGCTTCAACTGGTGCCCCTGAGCAGGGACCCCAAAACAAGGAACCTCTGAGCTTTTATACCCTCAGTCTGTGTGTGATAGTGTGGGGCTTTGTGTCATTGGCTCCTGCCATGTCCCTGAGTGACCAGTCACCTGGCAGGGCTACAGGTCCCTGTGCCCTTTCCTGTGCAAAAGGTTAGCACTAGTTCTGACCTCTTCTGGGGCTCCCATCACCCCGAGCTCAACCTGCAGCTCCCTCTGCAGCTGCACACTGAGCTACTGGCACTGAATGGATTCCTCAAGACCAGAATTCACACAACTCTGGTCCTCCCCATCCTGTGAGTCCCCACTGACCACTCCAATGACTACTGACACTTTCTCTCCACATTCTCATCTCTGTGAGATCTTGGTGATGATGCCATTAATCTCTGTATCTTCCGTGATGCAGTGCAGCCTCTAACTTCCTGCAGCTCTGTAGTTTGCTTGTGACATAGCTCCTCACTAATGTGCACTTCCTCTAGGCAAGAACATTTCCTCGGCTTCCTCCAAACCTCAGGAGAGGTCCCAAGCACTTCTGGCAGTTTGAAACCTGGAGAGCTGCAGCCTTTCTCAGGAGCTCTCCTTGACTGATACCAATCTGTGTTGGAATAGTTTCTTCAGCAGATGCAAGGGGATGGCACTGCAGCTTATTTCCATCCTGTCTGAACACTTTCACGTGGCTTTCAGTGGACTTTTGTGTGAGTTGTGTTCTAGCCCTAATTGTATAGGTTGCTCTCTAGTGCCAACTGGATGGGTACTTGACCCTTCCTGTTCATAAATTAGCAGAAGACAAAAGGTCAAAGTACCATTTAATTAGGCATCTATTAAGTCTGCAAAGCACAGGGATTTTACTGAAAAAATTTGATTACATGAACTTCACTTTGTGATCTTAACTGATTAGAAGATATAATTGTAAGCCAAGACCTGATGTAGGAGTTTTAGTGTGGTATTTTTGTTGCTTTCTTTATCTTAGTTATCTGTTTTGTTGTATAAATGGAAAGTAACTGGAAGTAATTTTCTTGTTGAAAATTTGTGTTCATCTAATTATCAAATCTGATTTTTGTTACTTAACTCACCTGGAAAACCACTCTTTCATGGGGCTCTTGCTGAATCCCTGTTAAGTCTTTAGGACATGATTGGCAGTTAGTAGTTAAAAATCTGTGGTAAAAACTTGAGCATTAGCAGTGAATCAGGATAAATCTGGATATGCATCCTCTTCATTCTCAGGTAAGCTCAGGAACTGTAATAGTGTTTTGGGTTTTATTTTGCAGTTGTGGTGAATTTGTCTTAGCTTTGGGGTGGCTCACCCGTAGAGGGTGCTAAAGCGCTGTTGTGTGAAAGTTTCACCAATCTGGAAAATGGCTTGGCACAGGTGCTGTTAAAGCAACACTCTTGGTTAGTACTCTTGGGACTTCCAAAACTCATGTACGTGCTTGGGTCTGCAATTTCTGATCAGTCCCGTTTAATTCAATGAAACTACTCACTTTACAGTTCAGCGTGTGTTTCTCTATGCATAATAAGGCTCTTCGGGTTACGATTTTTCAAAGATAGGAGAATGAGTCTTGGTATGTTGAATGTAAAAAAAATATATATATTTTATCAAAAATCTTGCCAATATCTGAACAAAGAGCTTTTTTTACAATGCCTGTGGAGGTTTTGTGTGTGTGATATATGTTCCATATACTGCTGGGGGCTGTTTATTCTAATCAATTTAAGGGAGAGAAAGCTATGAGACAGAAGTGAATACTTGTCAGAAGCAAGCTTTTTTGTGTAACTCCTTTAATCTGGAATACCATTGAGATACAAAACTCCAATTATTTTTTTTTTCTTCTTTTCATTCTTCTTAATTTGATACTAAAGATACAGAGTTGATCTTGATCTATCATCTTTCAGCCCTTAACAGATACGTAATTTTTTCACTCTTCTACTTATTCTCTGCATTGATGTATCAGATGTGTGGGAGAAGGAAAGGATGTTAAGGGTCAGTGTGGTATAAACCCAGGACACTCAAGCATCTGAAAGCATGTGTGCTTTTCTGTGAGACCAGCTATTCCTGGTCTGATGCTTTTTAACTAAAAGTACTGTTTTGGAAAGTTCCACAAAGCAGCTGTAGGCCACTTAAGGCAGTTGCAAAAGTAGCAGTGTTTTGTGGGCACAGCTTGGAGACCACTGTTTAGATATTGAACATGTATATTCCAGACTTGATTCTGCCTGTCAGTCATCTAAACTTGCCTGAATAACTTTTCTAAGAAAGCAATAAAAAATGCTAATTGTGGGAGTAAAACAGCTATTTTTTTTGTGTGTGTGTAAATGCAGGTGTGTTAACTGTGATATGTAGAAGCAAAAGCACAGCTTCTATATTAAATTAATATCTTGTAATTTTTAGGCATTACCCAATTGGTTTACTTTTTGATCTCCACGCATCAAATACAGCCCTTCCTTGGAGCATCACAGTGCATTTCAAGGTAAATTGATATAGACCCTTTTTTAAGAAAAAGTGAGCATGAGATTGCATGACATTTGGAAGCTAGGAAGAAGTTTCATAACTATTTTATAAAACATGTGAATGGTGTGATTTGAAAGGGAGAATATCCATTTGTTGAGGAAGCATTCAAAGGTTTCTGTAAATCTGCAGCTGTTTTCCATGAAATTGTGTGTGCTTTTACTGGACTTTCCATAGAAAATTATTCTATTACAATCTCAAAATCCAAAATTGTTTTTCATGTTATGAGGCTTATGATAGAAGAACTTTCTGTAATGTTTTTAATTTAATTGTCTTGAGTTGACTGAAGATTGGGAAGATTGAGAAGTGCTTGTCCTTTTAGGCATAAAAGAGCATGGAGATGCATTCCATGACTTCAAATGATTTCTACAGCTGTTGTACTTAATGTTGGTCCCTTTTAGAGAACTGAGTGAAATGAGTTGGTCTTGTGACAGCTTAGTCACAGGAGAGACATTATTTTGATTATGCACTGTAAACCCATTTGGTATGACTTAGTAGCACTACTGATCTTTGCTCAGAATGGAACTTGAACAGGGTTAGCTTTGGTGCAGGATTCTTGCATACTTTGAAGTGCACTGAGGCAATAATTCCAGGTATGTTTTGAGGTCAAAAGCACAACTACAAATCATAATATGTAACTTTGAAACATTAATTTCTCCATTGTAAAAGAAACGGTGCAATAGGAAAACTGATCTTATGGACAATGCTACGTTAATAGGCTTGATTTTTGTGCGTGAGAGATTTGAGTGAAATGAAAAGTGTATTGGGAAGCACTTGCATTGCATATTTTCATTGAAACAATTCTCAAAGGTGTATTAGAAAAGCTTTTTCCAAGAGTAATTGATTATTATTGGAAGCGTACACTGAAACCATGTGTTGAAACTTCTAAAATGATTCACTTAATGGATCTGAAGTTGGGGATGTTTTTGAAACTATTGTAATTGCTACACTTGTCTGATAAATGTCAGAGACCTGGGACGAGGAAACTTCCAGAATGTTCTGAAGAAAATATAGGGCGTCTAGTTTCATAAATCATGGTTTAATTGTTATGTTCTGAGAGCTCTGGAATATTAACAGTGGCAGTGTGGGGATGTTGCCATCACAAAGTAGAGGCATCTTGAGAATTAAGTTGCAGCATCACAGTGCCTTTTAATCAGCAACATAAATTTGACTTTAATGTTCTCGTGTTGCTGCTTGCCAAAAGATTAGCTACTTTTAGTTTTTCTCAAAGGTGTACATTAAAGATCAGCAGAAATAATAAATTGCTAAGGTGGTTTTACTTTAAAAGTTGATGTAATTTAGTAATATAATACTGTGGAGTTAGCACCTGCATAATCTCTCTTCCTATTTTGATGTAATCTGAAAGTTTATTTAAATAAAACCCCTCTGAATCCTGAAGTCAAAACATAACTGAAAGATATCAAAGTATGTCAAAATATTGAAGAGGTTTTCATGCGTTAGAGTTCCTTACAGCTGAATACTTTAGGTGTGGGATTTTTGACTAGAGTATTCTTTTCATTTCTGTGTAGTTATTCTTCAAATGATGTTGTAATTTTTATTCGGCTTAATTAAACAGTTTTAGATTTTATGGAGTTTAACTTCTGTTGTTGTGGCTGTCTCCTTTCTTCTACCAATGCATGCAGTCAACAACAGATATCTCAAACATCTGTAAAAAGTGTTTTTCAACTTCTTTTTAAAAATCAAACTCCCCCTATCAGGTTTCTTTGTTTGAAGTTAAGAACATGGAAAAGGATTATTTTTGTTCAGCAGAAGTTTTCAAGTTGATAGATGTTTGTAATTGTCCTCCTGTCTTAATGTACGCAGACCAAATCATAAACACACTTGGTTTTTGCATTGAAGAAACAGTTTGTTAATTTGTACTTCTAGTGTGCAATAAAATTACATGCATTGTATCTTGTAAAGTTGAAAAACAGTTGCATTAAATAGTTGCAGAAGGATGAGGCTGAGCGGCATACTGGAGTTTGAGAATCATGAGAGGCTGTGGCCTGGGAAGTTGGTTTTGTTTTCCAGGTATGGCTTTATGGGAAGGAGGGAAATTCTATCCCTTCCTGTTAAAATCATTTCACTTTACTCTGTGGCCTGTTTAACACTATTGATGTTCTCAGTGTGGTAACCACCTCTCCAGATTTTGGGCAGTAGATAAGAAATGGTGAACTGCTCTGTAAATAGCAGCACTATTGGGGGAGGGGAATGCTGAGGTTCTGCTGAAGCCATTGTCTGCTGGTGCCTCCCTCTCCACCCATGACCTGATGTACAGGAGGAGAGACAGCATCTGTCCTTACGTGGCAGTCATCATCTTTGTGGTTTTTTTAGATGGAGATTGGGTCGGGTGGAATGGAAAGGAAGTGCTTTTCCATATAGCACATGGATAAATTGTGGAACTGCTAGGAGATATTGTGGAAGCCAGAAATATAAATGGGGTTTTTTTGAAATCAGTCTTCTTAAAGAAAAGACCACTGATGGTAACTAAACACAAACACACAGATGCATCCCCTGCCACTGGATACATTCCTTAGGGTTTTTAATATCCTATTTTCTGTAAATGTAGTCTAATGTAAATAGACTGTCACAGGATAAACAGATGTTTTGAGAACTAGAACTGAGATATAAATATGGGTGGAATGGGGTTATGAAACCAGACTGTTGAAATTGCCTGTGATGTTTTTTTGGTACAGTTTTATGTGAGAGGTCATTAGTGCTTTTGTCTGTACAGACGATACCTCTTTCTTTGTGTTCAGTTCATACTGCAAGGGTATACATATATGTGAAGTTAAAAAACAGGACTCCTTGAGCTTTCTAAGAAAATCAGAGTCAACCCTTCATAACTGTTCCTTCAAAGATGCCGGACATGGAGGGAGTAGGACAACACCAATGAAAGTACTTGCATTAAAGCTACTTATATCGTCTCTTAATACTTTTTGCAGATTTCTTAGTTGTATATCCAAGAGTGGCTACCAGTTTCTTTACAATTGTCCCTTTCTTCAGGGAACTGAGTAAGTTGTTTATGATTGATCAGTATTTCTTCAGGTAGAAAGAAGGCAAGTAGAATTTTTTTTTTTAAAGTACAAGCATGCTGATCTACATTTAAGTATAAAACTTATTGTTTTGCGCCCTGATTGATAAATCAGCAGGGATGCCAAGTTTTCTGTTGGTAGTCTCATGTAGGTGAAACTGTTTCGTATGCTTCTTGCAGATGTGCAGTGTTTTTTTAAGTAGTCACTTTCATGTTCAGGCTTTTCAGCTGCTACTCACAGTACTTCATAGAAATGTGTCAGTATTTTCCCACTAAAGAAAAGTGTACACAGCACTGAGAATTAGGAGTGTTTTCCAGTCTTTAACAGTGTTACTTCTTAGAAGCTGGGAAAATTAATCATGCCACACCTAGTTCTACTACTGTATCTAGATTCTTTATAGTAGCTTAACTAGCTTTGACCAATCTTAAATAGATCCTTGCTGTTCTGCAGACTACAGTTTGATGATTTCTGGAACTCATCCTCAGGGAGTAACATTAGCTGCAATTTGAAATTCATTGGAAGAAAGTCAGCAGGAAGATGTCTGCCTGTGGAAAGAGAAGAGAAAGACCCCACAGTTCAATATTTAGACACATGTGTAGCGAAACAGTTGTTGTACCAAAACTGTTTTCATAAACTTGGCTAAAACATCAGTTTTTAACTATGAAAGTCAGTTTCTCTAGGGTCTTTTATTACTTGGCATTAGGTACGTACCACTGTTTCTTCCTTTGTTTTGAGGGATGCCAGTGTCTCACTTGGAATTCTTAAAGAACTTTTTTGATCTTTAAGTATGCTATTTCTGTCTATTTGTTTCTTCTGGATTGGTTATGAGACCTTACATATTTTTATTTGAGCAAGTAAATTGAACTTCTGAAAGTATTTTACAGGCCTATGCAGATGTCAATTGGCAAGTAACCATCCCAGTAATGTTTTCCTAGTAATCTTGGGCCCAATTATTGCTGAGACACTCAGCTTTGTAGGGTAGACGAGGATCAAGGTCTGCCCCAGAAGAACTTTCCTTATTGTTCTGTCTTCTTTAATGTCTTTGTACTTGGCCATTCTCATATAAGAGACAAGATTTACCTCTGTCCTTATATTTCTAGTCAGCTTAACATACACCAGTCGTAACAGCGGCACTCCCTTTTGCAAGTTCAACACCAAACCATGTGAACTTTAGTGGAAAAGATATTAGCAATTTTTTCTTTATGCCCCTGTTTTTGGAAAATACTCATCCTTTTGATCCACAGTTTCCAGAGTTTGGGTTCTCCCTGTCATAAGGAGGAAACACTATATGACATTCCATTATTTAATTTCCAACTCTTCTCAATAACCTAATGAGGAGGGAACTATCATTGTTATCCTCAGAATTTCTTTCAGGTAAGGCAATCCCTAGCTCCCTTTTTGATATTTTGGGTTTCTCTATTTTGAAGCAATCTTCACTATTTTTTGGGGGGTTGTGTGGGAGAGTGAAGGTAGGGTTTTTTCCAGCGTTAGATTGCTCCTGCTTTGACATGTTAACTATGTTGTAAAAGCCTTTGAAAAATATCCCATTATATGTACTTGTGTTTCCAAAATGGTTTTGACAGTCACTCACAAAAGCTTTTTAAAGTGCTAGTTTGTAATGGGTTAAGAGGAAATGGCCTCTGGTGGGATAGCATGAGAATTCAAGGATAAAAATGTGGCAAGCCCTTTTTAGGAAGGGGAATACTGATGATGCCACCACTCTGGTTTGGCTCTGAGGTTTGCTCCATTCAGCATGGACATAAGCAACTGTGAAAATAAAATTAAGGAGGGAATAAAGGTGGGTTTTAAAACTTCTGAAAACTATAGGCACTGGATTTGTGCTAGTGAATGCTTGTGTTATTATGAAATGACAAGTGATAGTATGTGTTGATAAAAGAAAAACTGGAGGAAGGAAAACCACAACGTCTACAATGCTGGACTTAAGTTAATTTCCAAAAAAATCTTTTTTGTATCTGAATGAGATATAGTACTGTAACTCCTTAATAAATTCATTATGAGAGGTAGTTGTCATTTACTGAAGGGTTAAGAGTTATTTGAGGAGTGGTAGTTGTGCATCTGTAATGCTAAATGCTGTGTGCCAATGTAACCAAATAAATGGGGTATAAAATCAAGTCACACAGACTGGCAGTCACATAGATTAGTTGAAGCTGGAACTGACAAAGATTTCCAGTATCTCTAAGGAAAAATGTTTGTAAGATATACTCTAGTTCATATATGTGGGTGATTCTGCTTGTTTTTCAAGGAACTGTGTGCATAGAAATGGTTGATAAAATATCATAGAGAGCAAATATAAATTAGGTGCTTGTCACTAACTTCTCAGTATTTTTTCCTATTTATTGTCTGAGATTGAATATCTGCTTGAAAACATGTTAAAATTCTGGTTTTACAGAAAGTTGTTGAGCTTTTATTTTTCCTGAAACATTTTCACTGCAACCTGTTTCTTGTCAGCAGAGTGAGAGAATGGTTGTTACGTTCTGCCGTAAGTAGAAGATTCCAGTGTGCTTCTTTTGCATAAATTTATGCCTATTTAAAATTATCATTTATTCTTCATCTTACAAGGTATGTGATGCATTTATTTTTCTTGATCTGTCATTTCTCTTTGTAGAATTTTCCAGAAAAGGATCTTCTACACTGCCATTCTAAGGATGTGATTGAGGCTCATTTTATGGCTTGTATAAAAGAAGCAGATGCTTTAAAGCACAAAAGTCAAGTCATCAATGAAATGCAAAAAAAGGATCATAAGCAATTGTGGATGGGATTACAGAATGGTAAATACAACACATCAAGTATTAATTATATTCAGGTCAAACAAGCTAATAAATAATTTCTTCAAATTTCAGTTATTGCATGAGATATAAAATGTCATTTTTCTGCAGAATTTTTGTCTAGTGTCATGGAAAGCATTGATGGTTTTCGTGGTTTTTTGTTTTTTTTTTTAATTAAAGTCATCATTTTTGTGATAATTCAAATGTGCCTTAAGTTATTCAAGGAATTCGTTTGGGTCATGACTCCATTTTTAAAAAACCAAAACTAGCAACAAATCAAAATAGATAAATATTGTCTAGTGTACTTTTGTGCAAATGATGGTCTTTATTTGGGAGACACCTGGGGTGTAAGTATTCATTATTGGCAAACTTGGACAGTACATAAGAGATTGTCCCCTCTAGTTAATGCTTATGGGTTGTCACTGGTAAACAATACAGAAACTGTAAAAAAAGTTGTCCAGTAGATTTAATATTTTTACTTTTCTCTCTGCCATTTTTTATAATTGCTTTATGGCTTTCACAAGGACTTCTGCATTACTAAGTACTGACTTGAAAAAGTCAGCAAAATAATTCAGAACAAGATCTTTAATTAGTGTTCTTACTTTGCATAGATGATGTGTATCAATATTACAGTGCAAAATAAAACTTTTGTTTGTAGTGCCTTCTGTATTAAGGTTTGTAGAGCCCTGTAAGTTGAAAAGCTCTTGTAAGTATTTGAGAAACTGCTCTCTGGAATGGATGATCATGCCACTTTCATTGCATTTTTCTCATCTCCTGAAGCTGTCATTTATATTAACCCTAGGAAATTTATTTTATGAAAGCATTTTTGTGTAAGTATGAAGATGTTTATTCTGCATTGAGAGACATAATACTGAACACTTAGAATTAACATCTTCCTGTATATGTATAAGAATAATTAAATGCAAAAGAACCTTAGAATGCAAAAAACTTGAACCATGCTTTTGGTTTAGACAAGAAGATTCCAAGTTAGTTTTGGTTTAATGTGTGCATTTAGTGAGTGTGTAGCTTTTTTTTTTTCATTGTTGTTTAGTGGTACTGCCTTTCATATTGAAGGTACTCTAGTGATAGTTTTGAAGATGAATGGTTATTAGAAACTCTGTTTTCTATTTTTTTTATTTAATTGGAAGAGAGTTAGAAATCGAGGCATTGTCTTAATTTGCCGTTTGACTGGTAAGATCTTCAGCAAGGCTGTGCATACCTGCAAAATGAAACAGTACAAGTTAAAGTTCTTTTAACCAGAAGTTACAGAATCTTGATACTCTCAATATTTAAGATAAACAGCTTGCTTTTTTTTGTGCTCATCTTAGGCTTTATCATTTAGTTGATTATTTGTCTAAGAATATCTTCAGTTGTAGGGAAAGCAGAATTTTTCTGTTTTGCTCTATAATGTTAAGAACAGAGATTGCCTAGCAAAGTTGATTTCAGGGTTTCACTGTACTTAATGAGAAATTGCACCTGTGGAATCTGACACCTGAATGAGAAGTTTAAGCAATCTTTTGAATACTTTCAAATGCTAATTTTGATTTCTCAACTCTTCCTAAAAGAGAAACAAGAAAAGCTTGTGAAACCAAGAAAACTCTTTTTAAACATGTTGTATCTTTCAATATGTTTTTATAGGCTTTCGTTTGAGATGTAATAATTTTAAATCACTTTGTGAAACAGAATGAATGACCACAAAAAAGAAAAGAAAGTAGCATTTGTGATAACTGCTTTGTAAGTAAAGATACATCTGCAGGCTATTTTTTCTGTGCAACTTCAAACAATTTCCTTCAGTTCTTAATTATAGGAAGTGTTATTTGTTTAATGAGTGATAACATTACTTAGAAGACATGTCCTGAATTTACATTTTTGAATAAAAACCTATCCAGTTTTGTTTGGAGAAATATCACTATCCAGTAATTTGTAATTTGGTATAAATATTTCTGCTGAGAAGCAGCTATTTGGACAGATAACATGTGAAACTTACCAGTTGCTTGTAGATGGCTTTTAAGAGAAGAACTGTAATAGTGAATTTGTGGGAAAATCTTGTGCTGGTAGCAGCTGGTGGTTATTCATATCAACCTTTACATCCCTCCTCCCACCATTTCTGGTTTTATGTTAATCTGATACCAAATCAGGAAAGAATTCTTTCTTCTATTTCTTCTATTTTGTGCTGTGTTTTTTACTGCTCTTCATAGACAATTTCTGAATCACAAACCAGATAATTTCTGAGGTAGAACTCTTCTTTGGGACAGGTACATTTTTGACCAGCCACAGAGGTCTATCTGTGGTAGGGAAGCGATAAAAGCAGACTATGTGGCTATATTGACCTTTGTTCCTTTGTATGAATTGTTAAAATTCTTTGGTCAGAATTCATGGAAAATGTTACTACTGTTTTTGCTTTAACAGAGTTACAGCCATTTTTACCATGGATGAAAAGGATTTTCAAGTGGGTGGGTTTTTTTCTTCTTGCCTTTTGTGTGGAAAAATAAAGGCTTTCAGCTTTGAAACTCTAAGACTCTATGGGCCTGCTGATGACTCAGGATCAAACAAATGAAATCCCAACTGTTTCCAGGAGGAGAGCTGTATTTTTTGCATGGTTCAAAGAATTAGTATCTATAACTTCAGTATATAATGGTTCTAATAAATGAGGGGATTTAGGTTCAGCACATCTGCTTTTTATCAGTTGTGGACTAACAGAAGCAACTGTACCCTGAAATTTTCACAGGCATCATTTATAACCAACAAAGATTATACTTGGTGTTTCTGATACATGAATGGGAGAAATAAGTAAAAACTCATAACTGTTTTAAGGTTTCTTTTATATATTATAAAATATAATGAAGTCATTATTTTACTGAAAATATTATGGAAAAAGAATGTAATGCTCATTCATGCTTTAGGCTTTACCAATAGTTAAGTGGCTGTATTGAATTGTTCTTATTAGAGGAGAAAAATCCTGCAAGCATTCAGAATATTCAATATCTCTTTCTTGCCTTACTGACAGAATCAGGCCTGTGTTGTCTTGCGTTTAATTCCAAAATTTATCTAAACTGTTCTTGGGTTTTTGAGAGGCAGAATTTGTGTTTGTTTTCAGTTATCTCATTTCTGTTTAGAAATGTTCAAACTGCAAAAAAGAAAGTGTCTTACAGCTTTTCTTGTGCTGTGTACGCTTGACCCACTCAGTTTGTTGGGCATGTTTCTCCTCTTCATAGAGAACTGATGGAAACAATGCTTTTCTTTACCTCATGGTGAGCATGCTTTGGTAGCTGAACAAATCTCTGGTTCAGTTCATCATTTGAAATTTGCTTAGAAAATCTTCTGGAGTTTATCAGGAGAATGAATAAAAAAGCTACTAGTTTTCAAATCAAAGCTACCTGGTATACTTCTTCCCTGTACTGCTACCAAAATGGGGAGTTCTTCCCATGTTCAATCTGTAGAGGTTTGATTAACTGTGAAGATTAAATAATTAATGTGAACTTTGAAAATTTGTGTATTGCTTAAAAGTGATTTTAAAAACCCGATCATTACCTTCCTGGGCTGATAGTTAAAAATTTCCCCAAATGCATGAAGTTGCCTTATAATTAGCATCAGTATGTGCTTATTCTGGAGTTAAGCTAGCATGGCACACACCAAACATCGGTGTTGCTGATACCATTGAACTTAGGGAATGTGATTTAGACTGGTTCAGATAGCCCTGTGCAAAACCATCCCAGTGCTGGTTTGGTGTTGAGCAGGGTCTGTCTTCAAGCAGGCTGGACCTGCAGAATGAATCAGCTGCATCAGAGAGGGCCTTCCTGGGAATGTTTTTGGTGTTTTTTCCATAGCAGTGGTTTTGTCTGGGGTTTGGTTGGTTGTGGTGGTTTGTCTGGTAATGGTTTGTGACCTAGACCTCACTGTTAGTTATGTAGCGTTATGGGATTGTTAGTTACCCTTCCTGCTCAAATGACTAAGCCAGTGCTCCACTCATATGGGTGTAGTATTGTGAGTCTAAACTGCCATCCCCCTGAAACTGCTTTTGGCTTTGTTACTCCTCAGTTCTGGCCTGGTGTCTACTTGAATAGCTGCCCTTTGCTGTGGCACAAAGGTGGGGAATTGATGGCAGCCTGTGTTACCCCACTGGCTTTCTCTTCTCTGCTCTCAAACAGGAGGCCAGAGCAGGTCTGCTCTGTCTGATGCCAGTGAGAACCTGTGGGTTTCAAAGGAGGGCATGAGCTGTATGAAGGCAGAGAAGGAAGGAAAGCAAAAGGTAACACAGCATTCACAATCCTAATGAGATCTCTGCCACCAGAGGAGGTTGCCCAGAGATGGAGTAAGAGATAGCGTTTCTGATGTTTTCACCCTCTTGCGTTAGATGGCCATGTGCCTAATGAAAACCATTACACTCTGAAGGAGCAAACTTTGAGGTCTTTTTTTGCTGCCTTCTGCTTTTCTTCCTCCCCTCGCTCTCAAAATAAGTCATTTCCTGAAAGATGTGCATGGTCTAACTAAAATTTAAACTATCTCTAAGACACATACTTCACTTTTAAATGTAACTTTCTTTAGTTGTTGAGGGTTTCTTGTTTTTCAGTTTGAAATGCTTATAAGTTACTTTCTGTTAGTAAACTTCTGAATTTATTAATATGCATTAATATAAAGGTTCCTTAACTTTCAAGAAAAGTTTTTAGAAAAAACACAGTATGGGGAAAGCCAAGTGGGTTAGAATGTTACATGGTGTTATGTTGGTCTGTTTTCATATATATAGAGAGAGCTTAATTAGAGATGAAGAAATCAAAATTCCAAGGCTATCCTAGACTGGAGCAGAGAGCTGGAGGATGGATAAAATCGTCTGGAATCCTTTTCCCTTTGACTTTCGCAGGAAAGTCTGTAGCAAGCCCTGTTAATTTCTATACAACCTGTGGGGTATGTGTTTCAAAACTGGCTTATACTTGTTTGTTATCAGAGCTTTCCTTTTATTTTAAGTGACTGGACTTCTGAGATCACCTGCTATTTTGCTATAGATT